CTATTTAGGTACTTAAGATCCTAAGTATATACTATATAAGTACATGGAGCCCTAGGGAGACTTACATCCGAAACTCTGCTAATGTAGGAACCTGATTACGAAACCCTGGGCCTGTAACCCCCAATATAGTAGGATTCAAATACAGGAACCCTAGTAAAATAGCCCCCCAATATAGTAGGATTCAAACGAAGGAAGCCTAATAAAGGCCTAAGGTTCTTAACCAGCTTCCTACATTATCGAAGTTCTGGCCCTCTTCAGAACGGTTTGGGAGTTTGAGTCTTGTTCGGGGCTCAAGGTTCTCAAGCTCAGGATTTGCGGATTATAGGGTTTGGGAGTTAGGATTTAGGGTTTATAGGGCTGGGTTTAGGATTTGGGGTTTAGGATTTAGGGTGTAGAGTTTAAGATTTAGGATGTAGGGTGTAGGGCTAAGGAACCGCTAAAGCCCACATCGTGAAATCCTCAAAGGCTGCAGACCTGCTTCCACGAATAAATCAACCCTATGGTCCACCGGATGTACGAGCCAAATCTATAATATCTATAACACGTGAACTCTGGCAGTACTGAATCTGAAATTACTACATTGCATGGGAACCTAACCAAGGTCGAGATAAGAATGAGTTACTTCTGGGGTGATCGTGTCCGCAGCGTCCACCGTCTGAGCGACTTCTGCGGAATACATCGTCTGCAAACTGTCGAAGTGCCGACTTCCCGAAGAGTTGCACTGTCAAAGTCGTTTGCACATCGAAGTGAAGTGATGTTGAGCGATGTTGAGGTGCGCAGCCTTGGATGATGAGGCATCGAAAGAACGGGTGCTCGAACGGTTGCCAAAGTGGGCAAAGTTCGCTGCGAAATGCCCGCTTGCAAGCCATCGATGGCCGCGAAGCCGTGAAGCGCAGGCCCTGAACTTCACAACTTGGGTGAACATCTGTGAAACCTCCAACCTACTGACCTGCGGCAATTTCCGCATGACGTCCTTGTGGTTCAACGGCTGTTAAACTAGTAATGCTACGTACAATCCTTGCCAGCATCACGCATGTGATGAGAATATCAGATACTGTAAAGCCGGAATGCCAAACATGTCGGTTGCAGCTATTTCCTGTGTCAACATAGCACTTCGCCTGTAGCCATAACCATGATTTCGGTGTATAGCAGCATAGCAGTCACTGCACCCTAAACCCTAAACTCCAAACCGGATCGCTGTGGCTTGACGTGGACGGGCCGTCTGACGTAAAGGCCTCATACAAGTAAGGGGTTTGTTTTGACGATTAAGGTGTTGGTGCAGGGCTTTGTGCTACGAACATAACGTTTTTTCTCCCCTAATTATCGAGCACGGGATTCCTGCAAAGGAGAGGTTGGAAACCACACAGACAACGAGGACCATGCTGAGAGGTCTGTCCCACGCTTGTTAGATTTAGGACTAGGATACTGTGGGGACTTTCAGTTCAGGCCGTGAATGTTCCAAATAGAAACAGGTACGACAACATAGGCCAAAGCCTAACAGGCCTAACACCGACCGACCGTAGAATAGGGATCTGAATCACTGACCATGCTGTGCGGTTGTTGCACAAACCTCAACCTCAAAATCGGAATCCCAAATCCCTAAGCCCCAATCCCTAAACCTCAAACCGGAATCCTAAATCCCTAAACCCTGACCCTCAACACAGGAATCCGAAAATCCCTAAACCCTAAACCAAAACAGGAGTCGTAACACCGCTTCCGATTCTGAAACAACTGGTCAGGCACCTTGGGGGCCAGCATTGTCTCACAATCGACAACGAAATGATACCTGCGCTGGGTTTGGGGTTTCGGGGTTTTTGGGGTTTGGGGCTTTTGGGCATCTTTTGGGGGTCAGGATTCACAGCGCAATCTTTGGACATATGATTCGGAGTCGAAGCCTGCAAGTTTTACAGGGCATCGGGATCTCCCACACTTTCCGGGTGGTGGAATTTGGGCAGGTCGTCGAATGGAGGGTTCTTTTCCTAGTGATCTGGGGTGATTTGCTCTGGAGATGGGGCCAGAAAGAACTCCAGATAGGCTGGCCAACTGCCGCTCGCGAGCGAAAGTCTGAAGTCAGTTTTTTTGACAGAGCTTCGACAAAAGAAGCTCGTGGTGCCCGCTGTGTTCTGGGGCGAGAACCCTACCAGAGTGCACCACGACACCTTGAAATTCCAAGGTAGACTTTCGCAACTCGCCAACAAACTTCCAGGCCCAAATGTTGCATCAGAATCTGATTTCCCATGGGGCCTACTTCTGGAATCCAAGTAGCTCTTATGTATGGCCAAGTCTCTAAACCGCAATCCCAAACAGCCTGCATTGCCTACAGCCAGACAGTACAAGGAACAGAAGCCTAAAGATCTGTGAAAGCCACCACCAATTCGGAGAACCTCCAAAAGAGGATTGCTTGGACCTCAATACACAAGCCCAGAAATCTGAATATGGACCAAGTGGCCCACACCCACTTATTACTCACGAAAACTCTTACATAAAACTGAACGGTCCGTGGCATCTCCAGCTGAGCCACGTCTTGGGGGCTCTCCAGACGCCTGCCAATTATTTCCATGTATTGCAGGCTTCGTTCTCCATGGTCTCTCGTGCGACATTTAGCTTTCCCGGCTGTCTAGTTGCACGTGTATGTGTGTATGGCCTCCTTTTGTTTCTACATCCATCCCATATATATATATATATACAAATATATATATATATATATATATATATATATATATACATGTGTGCATACAGAGACGGACATACATACACATACATATATCCACATACATACATATACATTCATGTACATACATATACATATACATACATCCGCATACATCTACATGCATCTACATACACATACACATGACCATGCACATGCACATACACATGCTCATACTCATACTCATACTCATACACATACACGTACACGTACACATACACATACACACACATACACACACACAGACACAGACACATACACATACAAATGCACGTACACATACACATATACATACACCTATACATACAGATACAGATACATATACATATACATACATATCCACATATGTATATATATACATACATTTTTATAACACATATGCATACGTACATATACAAACATATACATACACATACATACACACACATATACACATACATACACATACATACAAATAAAATACACATACATACACAATCGCACGCGCAGACGCACATACATACCCAATCATACACATACACACACACACACACACATACACACACACACACACACACACACACGTAAACAATCGCGCACACACACATACGCAGACAGACACATACACACACACACAAATGCATACACAAGCATAAACATACATACACCTGCATACACATGCATACATACATCATTTGTACATATGTACATACATAGACGTACACATAGAGAGAGAGAGAGAGAGAGAGAGAGAGAGAGAGATCCATCCGTCCATGCATACGTACCTGTGTGCATACCTCTATCCGTATCTATCTCTACATTTGTACCTTTGTCTGTTTTGTATGTACAAACATACATGCATACCTATACCTATATACCTATATACCTATATACATACATACATACATACATACATACAATACAGATGTATAGAACAATGTTGGACTGTAAAAGTTGCTGACCTCACGAAGCGACGGGAATGTGTTGGACTGGAGGATTGATGTCACATGTAATGGCTGAGACAAAGTTGTCTTAATCTCCCCGCCACAGCTCTGAGCGTTCGAAGCATGATTCGCACCTGAACACCTCCAACCATGACAACAAAGGAGCTTAGGGGTACAGGCCTTCAGGCTTAGGGACCATGCGGGCTGCATAGCTTAGTCTTGTCGGGCCTGGGCCGTTTTCAAGTCGGTTGGCAGCTGGATTTGGTTAGAGCTTTTGCCTGATCCCTGCACTGAGCAAATTTCTGCCTTAGGCTGCGCAAGCCCTAAACCTCAAGTTCAAAGCCCAAAACTAACAACTCATGGCAAGCTTCCAAATGCCTGGCTGCACAGCCGCTGCCAAGATGAACTGTTTTTGGCCCGTTCCATAAACAGAGACTTTCCCTCGCTACAAACTCGAACTCACTCGTAAAATGAACCCTCGACATTCTTAGCTCCCGACTCACCCTAAACACTAAAGAAAATCAACCCTAAACCACTGAGATTCTACGTAGCCCCTAGCCTTTACAGGGCTCTCTCTTCGATCGTGCACGTCCGGGCTCTCGCCTTTGAGTGTGGCCACGGAAAACAGCCAGGCTTGGTGGAAGAAACAGGCCCAGGCTTCAACTTCTGAGGGATGCCTTATACGACTGGCGAGGATTTTACATTGCAGTGGGTTCTGCGTCAGCGTTGGATAAGGTCGACAGCTTGCTCGCAAAGGGCTTCAAGGTTCGAGTCTCATGACGGTTGCAAGCACTGTTTGGTCACTTACTGATTGGGACCCGGATTACCGGATTGGGGGGCCACGATACGAGCTGCATGTCACAGTCAAGCTGGTGGTCCACAAAGCTTGGCGACTCCAGATCATCAGCCGAAACCCTCGCAGTTCAGCGACCTACAGCTTATTCCAAACAAAAGCTAGACAGCTAGACCATGTGCCGCGCAGTTCGGCGCTCTAAGGGCCTCCCTATCTTCAGGTCCTGCGAAGATCCCACTGGTTGGAAATCCCAGCGGCCGGAGACATATCTTGAAACCTCGCTGGACTTTCTGCTTCGTCTTGTGACGTCCGCAAAACTTGGAGAGAAGAGTTGAGAGCCGAAGTCGATGTGACAAGGGATGCGCTCCCGCTCGCTGCCAGAAGCTAATTGAACTCTCCCCACATGTGCGGCGATGTCTCCCCTAGTACCGCCAGCTGGGAAACATCCTGAAGTGTGCTTATGACACATGCTTAATCATTGTCGGAAGCAAAGCATTCGCACGGGCCATCAGAAGGCTTGCTCAACTTGTGCTGGCAAGGATCAAAACTCGTCTTTTCACAACTCTTGTCGATGCGATAGTCTGTGTGCCGTTGTTATGCATACTCCTCATGTAGTTTCGTGTTATTACCCTCATCAAAACTTCTTATCTTGGCCACAATTTTCAACGGGACTCGTACATCATGTCTGCCCACCTTGTTTCCGCAAATCTTCAACAGGCGATATACCGCCAAACGTCGGTTACTGATGAATACGTACCGACCACTGTGTTCATAAGCTCAACGTCTTCAGGCCGCAACGTTCAATTGTGCACGGCCAGGAAAGTGTCCTTGATGCTGTGCTTACCATCAGAGAAGACTGCCCCAAAGGCATCGTGTGAGAACTGGGTATGGGAAGGCTTGAGGTGTAGCAGCTCCAGCCTCCTGCCCTTCTTAGGCATTGCGCACTTCGTCGCAGGAGTTTGAGCTTTACTTCGTGCCAGCCAGAAACTCCCACTGAGGGTCCTCCGACGAATCTTAGCGGCCCAGTTTGCTCTCCTGCTATACCAACACCTAAACTATAGTTCCATCTAGAAGCTATGCGTTTTCTAAATAATAGTCCGTCGATGGTACCTCTGTCACGAGCTACACTCGGCCCCCATGCGACTAACACCAGAATTGAAACATAAACTCCAACCCCCACTCCGCCCGTAAAGAATGCCCGCTCGGCGGCCTGCACCCTATCGCTCTATCCCTCGACTAGTTTTGTATAACTCTTGAGACTACAAAGCGTGACACCCAAGCTTGAAGCCTCTGAACCCTGCATGAGCCTCATTACCACAGTCTAACTGAGCTTCAAACCCTGCCCCAACCTATGGGGCTTGAACCGCAAAGGCCCCAAACCAAACTGCATTTAAGACCGAACGCCACCCCCTAATCCCTAAACCTCCACCCCCATCCCTCCCCAAAACCCGAATTGCATAAGATCGTAATCCCTAAACCTCCATCCCCATTCTCTAAAACCCGAATTGCGTAAGATCGTAAGCCACCGTTCGGGCTGCTTGCGGCCCAGGCGACTCTTCGCCAGCGCACTGGTACAGCCTAGGCTCTTCTTGGAGGCCCTGGGTTTAGGATTTAGCGGTTTTGGTGTTTTGGAGGATCTGCTAAAGCATGCTATACTCGCGATGTTTTAACAACCGAAGACTACGAAGTATCTATACAAGTATAGAAAATATCTATCTAAGTGTAGGAAAAGCTGTACTTTGAGAGAAAGGCCGAGGATCTCGGTATTCCCATGAACCTCCCGGATCTCGGCGGCTCGAAACCTCGAGGGCTTCAAGGCTTCAACTGTCTGACTGAGTATTGAGAATATGTTTCCCAAAAAAAAGGGACCTTTTGGGTTCCTTTATCGGGTACCATAAGGGCTCCTTTAAGGGATCTATAGGGGTTTAGGGTTTAGGGGTCCCTTTTCGAGTTTCCGAAAATAGGATACCCTAATATAGTACACAAAATAGTAGGATCCTAGTGATAACGACCCCAACATAAGGTACCCTAATTTTCGGCAATTCCCAGACAGTCCTAAACTCTACAGCCAATATAATGTAACCGAACCTCTGAACCCAAAACCTCTCTAAGACTGAAACCGTCAAGAACTCTGATGTCTCGGAGGCCCGGGCCAGTCGTAGTGGTGAGCATCCACGTTCGACGTGTATATCCTCCCCAAAATCTCAATTATATACGTAAATTGGCATTCTTATTTAATACGGTTTCGGGTCTGAGGTTTTGACTGGTGAGGGTGTTAGGAGAGGAATCGATTTCGGTGTTCTAGCAGGGTATGCGGTTTGAGCGATTTGTATAGGGTTGGAGTCCTATAAGTCTTAGAGCATTTCCGGTCTTCTGGATTTGGGGGTCCGATGCAATTTTGCCCGGGCTCAACCACATGGATATACACGCAATCAGATGCTTCGGGGCTACTGTGATATATTCACAAGGCACTGGGCATCCGGTGTTGCCTTCTCCACTAAGGCCGCGCACATGTGCCCGTATTCCTATGGGTCGCTTTTTGGCTATACTACAACTTGTACAGCAACCTATAGGGATTGCATCGATTCTTTCAGTCCCTCGGAAGAACTGGTCGCTAAGCCGACACTCCAAAAGGCCGTCATCCTCTGTAGCGCCTAGGCATGCATCACTGCAATGCGTCTTGTAGTTTCCATGGAGTGGCTAAAAATTAAGCCCCCGACCAGTAATGGCCCGTAGACACGCGAAACCCAAATAAATCTGAAAACCTACCTTCGCCTGCTGTATTACAAGAACGTAGTTGTTGGCAGGACTCGGATACCCGATGTAGAGATGCCACGAAGTACGTAAACCTCATCAAACCTCAACTCGTACACCCTACATTCTTCTGCCCTCTAAAACCCCCAGCCCGGGGGGTTTGAATCTCCTGAACCCTGACACCTCAAAACCACCTCTAAACCCAGTTTGAAAAAAGTTAGCTCTTAGCTGAAGTCGTTTCTTCGGAACCCAGGAAGGACAAGGGTCATGAACGCATCAGCTTGCCCCTGGACTTCGTAGGGATAGGGGCCTCGGCTGACGAAGCTGAAGTTTGGGCTAGGTTTGGGGGACGGTTTCGGTAGCCCAGATTGATTGACGTGTAATGAGTAAGAAGGCCTCCCTGTACGATGGCTCTGGAAGGGCTGAACACTGCAATAATCCAGGCTAAGCCCAAGCCTCTACCTTCGGGCGCTTGCGGATCGAAACAAGGACGGTGCAAGCCTTTCGGGACTTGGGCGACATTGGAGCCTGAATAGTGTAAGTCTCTCGGTGAATGTGGTACTCCAGGCACGCAAAGCTTATAACCAACAGCGAATACAATGACTGACATGAAATTGAAAGCTTCAGGCTTCTTCGGCATTTCATGCGAGAGACATAGCATGATGGTACACGATGCTGGCATTGCATGTCTTGTAAAACGATCGATCGAAAGCGCGAGACCCAAGCCCTCAACACAACAAACAAACAGTTAGAAATCGAGGAAGGGCAGCTCCGGCCGGCACAACCTATCCAGGCAGGCCAAGGAGCTGTCATCTGCACCGTTTTCTTCAATGGCACTAATCTCCTCAGCGGCAGCTACAATAACCAATCAAAACGGAATTGAGCCGTCGCCATGGCCGTCTGCTCAAAGACATCACGATCCGAACCTACTACTTCTCCTCCACCGCCTCGTCCTCCTCCTCCTCCTCCTCCTCCTCCTCCTCCTCCTCCTCCTGCTCCTCCTTCTCCTGATCCTCCTTCTTCTTCTCCTCCTCACCATCGTCATCTTCACACCACCACAACCAACACCACGCCGCCGCTGTACTCATTCCGAATACCACCACCATCACCATCACCACCATTGTCACCTTCCCCACCGTGGCCATCATCACCATCATCGTCATCGCCATCATCGTCATCGCCATCACAAACATCACCATCGTCATCATCGTCGTAGTAATCACTTTCTTCGCCATCTTCGCCGTCGTCGTCATCATCGTCATAACCATCCTCAGCAGACTGCATCAAACTCCGGCTAGGACCAGGTGCAGCTAGAAGGCAGGTATGCACTGAACGTCATACTCATCTTTGTTTTACCAGCAATCAATCTGCATATGTCGCTTGTGCATGCTTGTGCAGTTGCAGTTGAAAGACATATATGCTCTCGGGTCTCGGCCCCTCCCAGCGGTCCCACACAACCGGAACGAACCCACGCAAACCGGAGGGAGGGAGGGAGGACGATGGAGAATGATCCCAGCCAGTGCCTCTTCACAGAGCGGAGAACCGTATCAGAGCAGTGACAGGGGCACCATTTGCAAGGAGGAAAGGGGAACATCAAACTTTCTAGTATGGCAACGAGCACGTAACGACGACATTACTGCGAACATGCGGCTGCAACCATACCTCTGTAGAACACCCACAGGCGGAGCGGGGCCGACCAAAAAGATCACAGCCCCAGTGGGGGGAGGGGATAAGGCCAAACAAGACCACTCAGGAAGACGGGGAAAGCAACGAGGCCAAACAAGAAGACTACACTATCCACTTGACAGGCAAGGGGGGTGATACCATGGGGCGGGGAGGGGCAGGGGGGAGCAGCAGCCCTGCATCATATATGCACGCATGCGTGCGCGTTGGAGATTTGGAGAGGGAGAGGCGGGAGAGGGGGCGGGGAGAAAGAGAGAGAGAGAGAGAGACCTGAGAGAGAGTGAGAGAGAGAAAAGAGAGAGAAAAGAGAGAGAGAGAGAGAGAGAGAAAGAGAGAGAGAAAGAGAGAGAGAAAGAGAGAGAGAAAGAGAGAGAGAGAGAGAGAAGGAGAGAGAGAGAGAGAGAGAGAAAGAGAGAGAGAAAGAGAGAGAGAGAGAGAGGGAGGGAGGGAGGGAGGGAGGGAGGGAGGTGAGGGAGGTGTCTGTCATGTAGTACCAAATACAGGACCCGAGACCTCCAATGAAACGTCAACACCAGCAAACACTGTGCGAAACCCGGCTCTGCAATCCGACCTCGCTGGGCGATGTAGAATTAGAATCCGTTGAAAGCCAAGTGTCTCGGTCGTGGATGCCTTCACGGATACTTCTTGCAACGTCCGTCTCGCCTCTGTCGTGCAAGCTGCTGTCTGTTCGGGATGCTCAGGGCTTCTTGACTTGAGGGCTTACGGTCCAAACCTAGCCAAAGCAGGTGATGTAGAGTTTCGTGCGTACTAGGATCCAGCATACCGCTTGTTCGGTTGGGGATGATCCAGCCAGAGGCAGCTGGCCATAATCATAAACTCAAGCCCGAACTCAGCGCAGAAACGCCGATCAGCCAACAGTCACGCCACTCTCGATCAAATAAGAATCCGAGCACCTAGAACAGTGCGTAACTCGCAATCTTGCCGTGACCAGCAAGCAACAACAGTGTAGCAGGTGACTTATTGTGTCAATGAAACCACTGTTGATGTTGATGCCCTCGCTGGTGATGATGAGTGATGATGATCGTGGTGATGATGACGATGATGAACAGGATGACCTTGATGACGATGATTCCGATGGTCATTTTAAAGTCCAAACATGAGATCGGGCGGAGCGAGGTTTCGAGCACAAGGTGCTAGTTAAAGCATTTGTGGTCAAGGGCATGAAGGCTCCAAGTTCCGCTTTTGGACTTCGGATGTGGGAAAAGGGCGAGCTGTCGACCAGATTCTTTAGAATCCGAGGTGCGAAAGAGGCAATCCGTCCAATGCCGAACGATCTGGTAGCCGATGTGCGGCGCTGTGCGGCGATAGTCGTTGAAACCTCGCCGCAAGGGGTTGCTACTGCCATTGCTTGTACCGTGTATCCAACATGATCTAGATCCTGGCTTTATCTGTGTCTTATATATATATACATATATATATATATATATATATGCTTGTTGTTATCTACATATGTTATGTATACATATATATATATATATACATACACAGATCTTCATAAATCCTACAACGAGGTTTCCAAGACGTCGGCATCCAGCCCTGGCAGCTTCTGGCCTTCCCGAGCTGCTAAGCTCTGAGCCTACAGTACTTTTGAGGGTGTGGAGTTCAAGGCTTTCAAACCCAAAGGATGCTACAGCATCATCTTAGACAGCTTGCCATCATGGAGCGCCAGAGCCCCGGAGAGCCCTTAACGAGCAATGCACCTTCGGGCTCAAAGGGGCCTGAAAGTTGGACGTTTCGGCAGTACTGTGCTCCCGACGGATATACGAGCCGGTTCCTCACGATACAGCCGAAAGCAGCCTAATTATCCGAAAGCAGACCCTTTACTATAGGGGCCTTCATAATTAGAATAGGGTTTTCGGGCCCAATTATACTAAAATTTTAAGAAGGAACCCTCAACATGGTTTAGGCCCCTATGGTACCCCACAAAGGCTCTGCAGCTTGCGACACTACTCTTTGCTTCGAGTGGTCCCTCGACTTGGTGACTGACATATGTTGCCGAGCAACTACTGACTGTGAGAAACATCCTCCGAAATCATGAGAATCAAAACTATGCGCAAAGACAGTCACGGAAGCCATACCGTCCAGCTCTTACTCATCTTGGTCTTGTCACTTATGCTGCTGTGTTTGTCTGCGGCCTTAATCAAGTACAGTGCTGCTGTGTTTCTCCTTGCTGCGTGTATTATGCGAGCTACAATTACAAAAACGCAAGAGGCAAAGCACGCAATACCACAAAATTGGGATTCTGCCCTTGTTCCTAAGTGCTTGTCCTCTGTCCTCTGCCGGGCAACACTGCCCCCAAAAGCCCCAGAAGAGCTCTGGTTCGTCGTGGAGCCAGTTCATCCTGCAGATATCGTAATACCTGACTGAAGCTGTGCTGCTTGAAGGCTTAGGCTTCATTGTGAGGGTCTGAAACCTTGCTATCGGATATTCAGAAGTATTGATTTGCGAAGCTTGTGTAAGATGCACTTCAGATGCATGGCATCTCATACAGACGCGCTTGCAAGTGTTGTGGTGGCTGTTCCAAAAGTCGCAGTTTTGCGATGCTGATACATTAAAGGCTGAAAAACGAAACACTAGGACCAAGACTTGAATGGCCCATGGGGGGGAGCAGTGATTGAATCTTCAGAGTTCAGGCAATCTTCGCTCCCGCATCTGGTGCCGGGACGGGGCTGAAGCCCCATCCCCAAAGGCCCCGAACCTGATTGGGAGCTTTTGGTGAGTTGGGAATTAGCCTGCATGGGTCGAGAGCCGGGAAATACCTCCAGAGATCTGGCCTCGAACTGCCAAGCAAATTAAGAAAGGGGCTGCGGAGTTTGAACCTTCAAACCCCACTCGAATCTTTCGAAGCAGGTCCTCAACCCGAGCAATCCCCAACGTGCCATGGTGCGTCAAATCGCGGTTCCTGTAAGCCGGGACCTCTTCACACAGCTTGAGGGGAATATGGAAGCCCATGCAACCAGACTCTGGCATTTGGCAGCCTTATGCCCAGAAAATGTGCAAGGGAAACATATAAGAAAGACTGGTACGAAATACTGAGACCTTCTCTCATAGGGATCTGCGTACTTCTGGACACAAGCGTTCTTGGGCCCGGAGGTCTTAATCCTGAGGCTTCGTATTCGCTGCGTTGGGCTAATATACGGGCCGTGATACTTAGAATACGGCGTTGGGGCCCATTATACTACATTTAAATGTATAAGGAACCCTGCAAATAGTATTTGTAATTATTATTTAAGCCCCTGTACTAGGTCCGACCAGAGGTCCTTCTACAAAGGCCTGAGGATGTGTTCAATATTTCGTTAACTGATAATCAACGCGTGGGTGTGTGAATGTGTAAACATATAAGATGTTGCATCACGTGTGATCTGTTGTGCACACCGAACTGCGAGAGAATTTCAGAACTCCGGGCTACACCTGGAAAACCCAAGATGATCGACGACCCCACGTCTAGGTTCCAGACTTCTCCCGGCTTCTTCTCATGCTTACGAGTACGAGATGTTGGATTGACGGCATCAGGTAAACCTTTGTGGGTGGAAGCGCCCAGCAGTTCTGCTTGGTGCTGGTGGAACTGCGCTACTGTTGGTTTGAACCCACGATTCCGATGCGCGGCGCAAGCATCCGGCAAAACGCCCCTCGGGTACTCCATCGAAGGATTTGCCAACCGGACCGTAGGTACATGAACAACAAGAACACCCTCGTATCTTCATTGCAAATAAAAGAATAACATGCGAACCCGATCGACTAACCTGAAACCTACAAGCCTTAAGCCCCCAAGCTTTGTGAACTGCCTTCGCAACATCACGATACACCGCGAGGCCACTGTCAGCGGACCATCCAGCTCCATTGCCTTGTTCCGGTAGGATGTGGTGCCGGAACAGACAAGGCCAAACAACTTCGGAACAAATTCTCACCCCAAACCCTCACCCACGAGATGGAGTCTGATGTGGAGCTCGCTTCTTCGAGTTGCAATGCAAGATTGCCTATCGCAGGTTCAGGGTTTAGAGACATGGCTGATGATATGCTTCTGAGGTCGCTCCCGAAGCACGGGCGTGCCCAACACTACCCGCTGCAGTAACCTCATCGTAGCCCTTATCATGAACCCATCTCCTACCCAGAAGCCCTATCGTCTATCGTCGATAGTAACCCCAAGAGTTGAGGCTCTTAGGTCTTGACTCCGAGCAATGCTTGAAGGGTACGTGAAGGGTATGTTAATCTGGGCTTTTAAGTAACCAGGGAGAAAAAGGAGTTTACACTTTCAGAACGGTTCCTTTTAAGACGAAGGTATTAAAGTATGGTAGTCCAAAGCCCAGGAATATTGTTGTAGAAGTATACAGGGACTACAAGGAACGATGGCTACTACTTCCCACATCTTCCTAAGCTTTCCTTTGCAGACTGTACGAGGGCTGCTCTCAAAGCAGCCCTGGGCTTTTTGCTGCAAGCTTGATTAAACCCTTAATCCAAATCCCCAAACCCTAAACCCCTGAACCCCTGAATCCAAATTAAACCCCGAAACCTTGAACCCAACATGATACAGCTCAAACTTAAAACCGCGAAGCCTGGGATTCTAAATCCTGAGACTTCATGCGCACACCCAAAGAAACCCAATCGTTTCAGGAGATCGCAGTATGTCAGGCTTTTTGATTCTGTGCTTGTGGGTTTGGGGCTGTAAGGCTTTGGGGTTCAGGGTGTGGGTCTTCATGAAAGCCTGAAGTTAGGTTGTTGCGAAGTGTCGTAAGCTTATGGCATGAAACTCATGGGTATGAAAGGCAAGAGGCCTGCATGGTAAAACCCTAAACCTACCGCTCGCCAAATTGCAGAAGAGGAGGACGTCCGCCGATGCCAGGAAAGACGCGGCATGAAGGCAACACTCCTCACACCACAGGTCAGCAGGCGAGGGTGCCACGGCTGGAATAGGGCCTAAGTTGAGTCGACAACTTGACAAATGGTGATGGAACACTGGCAAAACCCCGAAACCCTGAAGCCCTACTGGAGCTTTGTTGGGTGATAAGGGAAAGCGCTTCGATGGATTGGGATTTCGCGGCATCCATGGATGAAGGTCCAGAGGATTGAAGGCATGCCTCAAGGAGTTAGGGACCAGGCACGTGTTGGTATATCGCAGAAGCTCAGGTTGATGATGGCACGAGCAACAGTTGCAGTGATACCGGACTTCAAGATGCAACAAGGAGCAAACAGTATTGGCTGACGGAGAACCTGTCGAACACGAGCATTTGGAATAGCGAACCCTCTGCTCTTACAGTTTGTACTCGTAGACATACATTCAAGCAGGTTAACAAGTTCTTTACAGTATCGCCAGTGCTGATTGCTTATGAGCATCATGTCATTGCCGATGCTGGTGCTGCAATAAGTAGAGTAGGGTTCTGGGGCCTTATATACTTTAATTATAATAAGGACCCCCAAGATCGTACAGGTACTTATTGAGGCCCCTATATTAGTGCTACTGTGGGGTCGTATCAGAACCCTCGATTCCTCGAGTCCGCTGCGGAGCTTCTCCGCATGCTCGAGAGCCGGAGCGGATGTGGAACCACCCATGCTGAAACTGGAAAGGTTGCTTTAAGGGTATAGGATTTAAGGTCTATGTTACCATGATGGGGATCTATAAGGGTATGGGATTTAAGGTTTAAGTTAGTTACCACAATAGGGATCGATAAGGGTTCCCGTACCGTGGGGAGGAAAGGCAGAACCTAGCCATACGGCCGGCAGCAAAGCAGTGCAAATCCTTGGAGTTGCACTTGCACGTGCTACGCAAAATCGTAGGCCGCGGATTCGAGGCGCATTTTGTCGAAACATCCTCTAAGAGCTTCGGAGTTTTAAGGATCTATGTGAGTTGGGTTGGATGCGCGATCTTGTGCATTGCTTCATCTGCTGCAGTCCAAATTGCTGCAACCCCACCATGCGGCAGCCATGTCAACTAGGCACTCCAAGGGTATTCAGCCGTGGTACGCATGTGACAGACTTGCATGACACTTGACTTCGCATCCTGGTAATAGGGGGAGGCTCGAAGAAACGGCAGGAAGTAAGGCCCTAAATATCTCAGACGTGTAACTTGCAGGCCGTCGGACGTATGACCTCGAAAGTCAGATGCTCCCACACCTACCTAGGGTCAAGCCCTCAATACCTAGTTGCCAAAATTTTCCTGACGGGACTTGCCGGTAAATGTCGTAGTTGAGATGAGGCTCCCAGGACTTAGGCTTCAGGCTTCGACGCAGGATACCAAGTTCCGCGCTTTAGTTTAGGCAAACACCTGTATGAATATATATATATATATATATATATATATATACGTGCATATAAATATACGTAAAAATATATGTGTGTGTGTGTATATGTATATATATAAGTATAGGAGTAGCTGAGTAGCTTCCAAGACCAGGTGAAACCCATATCCCTTTGAAGGCCTCGCACCCTCATGGTTCTAGATTCTAGACTCGGCGCAGCATCTGACATAATACAGCATGTAGGTCCAGATACATGTATCCAGATTCATCCTAAAACAGCTAGCAGTTAAAGTTTGGGAGATCGGCCGTTGCCAAATTCAACCGTGAACCCTGGACTAGAAGCCCTAGAATAGCAGGTCGCCGGCAGCCTTCGAGACGATCGTGGTCAACTCTAGACTCTAGACAGCAATCAGCAGGAGCTGCAGCCTAAAACCGTAAGCTTGAACAGAGCTTATGGCTGACGGTCTCAGATGCGAGATCCCTGAACTCTGAAGTGCACACTTCGAAGTTGCAGCCTCCACGTCCGCTGGTGCCCACACCTCCAGGTCCAAACCCCTAAACGAAGCAGTGAACTTCAAGTGAGTTCAAGGCTCGGGCTCCAGTGGATAAGAGGACGAGGGTACGCTTTGGGATGCTTGCCTGGGGCGAGACTCAAAGCCACCTCGGCGCAAACATGCGCCCGAACAGGCACAGGTAGCTAAAGGTAGCTACCGAGCTAGAGAACCCTGAAACGGCTGAGAAATACAAACACCACCGAAAACCTGCCAACAGCAACATCCAACTCTCATCAACTCTCCGATGCCCCCTTAGAGAACAATCAAGACTCGTCATAACCGAACACCTGAAAAAACGCCAAGCGCCTCGATGTCCACACCCAAAGCTGCGAGCTCCTGCCGCCGCTGAGCTTCCACAGCCAAAGCATCGGCCTGCACTCTGGTGGAGAACTTAGGGCTCATGGTCGAAGGAGTTCCCGATGCTAAGGCTTGGGTCGAACATGGTCTGATGGAGTAAATATCTGGGTCTTGAAGGACCCCAAAGAGTTCTACAGTGCCACTTTAAGAAAACCAATGGTGCATCGGAAATCAAAATGCTTACGTTGGGTTGGGTCGTCATGTTGAGGGAAACGGAAGGGCCGCAAGAACTGCAACAAGGGTTGGAGTGGTGTCGTCCATGCGTGAAATCGAGCAGCGTGCTGCGTGGTTCTATGGCAGCGTAGAGTGTGGGGCATGGTACGTGAGACCTGGGTCGGAAGAGGTACAGTGTGGTATGGCTGGGTTTCACGATTCTTCCTACCAGCTAACTGCAGCAGAGTGAAAGCTTTAGGGTAAGCTGCAGGCCAAGAGTCCTGAACACAGCGTGAACACATCCACACACTGCCCTGAACCCGCACCGAACACGTGGCATCTTCATCAGCTCATTAGATGTTGCCTCAACCTTGGAAACCGAATCTCTTGGCCCGTTCCTCTTCGGTGTCGATGCCGTGGGTTCTCCTGCTCTTCCTCTATCTGAACCCCTGCTTCCCAAAACCCCAAGCCCCATCGGCAAAATCCGAACCCCCAAACCTCTTAACTCTTAACTTATACCTTATAACCCTCAACCCGAAGTTCAACTCTGCAATTCGAACCTCCCTGGACACTGAGGTCTCGGCTGGGGCGAGCAATAGCCGCGGCGTGGCCAGGTCGGAGGGGATGCCGATGGCGGGCGGCAGCTTCTTAGCCTTCACCGAGTTTGGTTCACAGTGGAGGGTTCACCCTCATAAAACGAAAACACACCCTGACTGTCGGAACCGTGATGATGGCAAATGGTCCTCATAACATGTTGACCTCCAGGTTCAGGAGTGGCAAGCAGAAGTGGCTATCTTAGCCTCCGTCTGATCAGGAGCAGCGATGCCCGTGAATTACACCCCAAATCCTAAAAGTGTCAAAACCCTACAAGTCTAAACTCTAAGCCTCAAAACCTGAGCTGTGACACGAGAGCCGGCCTTTTGTGGCAGCGCCGGAAGCCGCAATTTCAGCGGATTCTGAGAGGCAGCTGCTGGATTTATAGCGAATTTGAAGGTTTTATTGGTTCGAGGTTTTAGGGCTTTGGGTTTTCGCGGGTTGAAGGGTTCAGGATTGCAGAGACTGGCTGCTGGGGTTTCGGGCTTTCGGGCCTTGGGGTTTCGCTTGTATTAAGGCTTCAGCACTTTACGTCTCTCGGGGCTTAGGATTTGGGGCTTTGGGTCTCGGGGCTCAAGGCGTTTTGGGTCCCTGTTACTTCTTCGGGGGGTGCTGTGCCGCAGGTGCCTGTGCTGGCTCTTGCTTCATTGTTGTTTCGTGTACTGCAACCATCCTGAAACAAACGGAAGCTACATTGGGCTCGATGCTCTGAACTTGGCCGGGTATGTACTCGGAGGGCATGAGTTTCTGGTCGAGGTTTTCGACGGAGCATGCTTTCTGTGCGTCCTGATTTACCCATCAGTCAAGTATTGCGGTCATTACTTTCACCGAAAGTCAGGGGTTGCATAACCCTGGACTGAATACCAGCCAACAGATAGATTCGGGACAGTATGTCCACAAAAGGCTCGGAACCAGGCGCTTAGTTTGGGTCTGGATAGGTGGCTTTGCGTGTAAGTGCTTATGCTTTGATCGTGTGGACTAACCCTCGGCTAGCCGAAGGCACGAACGAGGCTACGAAAACCGAAACCCGACTATAGGGGCCTTGAGAATTGGAACAGGGTTTTGGGGTACCCCCAAAATAGTATTTGTAATTATCAAGGCCCCTATAGTATCATTCGCGACCCAAGTTCGATTCTTGCGGAAGTCACGAAACGATCACACCGCTTTGGACTCCAGGAGTCTCTGGCCGAAACCTTTCGAGTTCGTTTGAAAAGGCCTCCAACAAGCAACTGCTAAGCCCACCGAAAGAAAAGAAGGCACACCACACAAGAACGCCAAAATCTCGGAGCTCGGAACCCTCCGTTGCGGAACTGAGGACGGCACTAACGCCTGCATCGATTGGAAGCAGCGGAATGGGCCGAGTAAGGGCTGAGGGTTTGTGAGATTGCCGCATGGGCATTTTGCAATTAAGTTGTTGCTCTGCTCCTTGGAAGCTTTTCTACGGTTTGCACTGGATCTACGGTTTCGAAATGAGGGGGTCGGTGCGTGCACTCAAGGGAACGTTGCGATGGAGGGTGCAACTGACTCTTGGTAGGCCTGTGCTTGAGGTTTCATTCTGACGTGCGCCAACATTGCCCGTGTGTTTGGTTTAGGGTTTACCTGCTCCAAGCTCGGTGCCCGATGACAGCTCAACTTCATGTCCTCCCAAACCACTCCTAAATGCTCAAACCCCGCGGCCCTGCAAAATCCTTATAGCTACCCGGCATACCGTAATGAATCTGGACAGCCCGAAATATCCGGGTTGAGGAGCTGGAGCCCGGGCCTTTCAAGCAGGTTTCCCTGTGTAGTGCCATGCATTGCAGTCTAGCGAAAGGGAGTAGACAAGTCATACAAAAGCAAGTATTCTATTCTATTAAAGCGTATTCATCATACATAATACATCTGTACACGCAGGCATCCATGCCTGCATGATGCAAGCAGGTACATACACACATGCACATACATACATGGAGCCCCAGATTTGTTGGATTTTGTTGGGCTTACATGGCGGCCTTAACAACTACCCGGCCTTCCTGGGTATAATTGCAGTATAATATCCCCAACACCTTATTCTTACCATTAAGGCCGGCCCCCATATCAGATTAAGGCCTCCGGATCCGCGCCCAATTCCAGAGCTTCGGCCAGCAGCTCGGGAGCCCCTCGAGGGAGAAGCGAAAGCCAACGGATAAAGGCACAGAGGGTTTCGGTTTCGGGCTTGGGATAGGTTTTTCTTTTTTCGAGGGGTTTAGTGTTTTAGGGTTGGGGTATGGATCTAGGGGTTTGGGCGCCGGAGCTTACCAACTCACAGCAATGGCAGCAACTTGGCAACAGAAGCTGGGAAGTGGCCGAAGTAACCAGAACTAGTACTTCATGATGGTGATGATGATAAGGAAACTAACTGCTGTATTCTGCAGGGGTCGCCATAGGCGGTTTCTGATTGTTTCAGGCTTCAGCCATTGGTGTGCCGCGCCTGGAGGAGCTTCTGCTGCCGCCGAAGCCAAGGCAAACGGGATCTCCTGGAAGGCAGCGTCTTTTCGGAGCGCTTTGGTGGTTTCAGGCTTGGGAGCCGTTTTGGTAACGCATGTCGTGAACGAAGCGTGCATGTCACAGGTCTGCGGAAGGTTGAGACAATGACCTATAACGACAAGGGGGACTGGTTTTAGCTATCGGCCGGAGTGGGATTGTCTACGTGAGGTTGATAATTCAGAGCCAAAGCCTCCGGCACTATGCAGCCAAGCTTGCAGCAAGCTTGTCGGTCTAGCTGTCGGCATTCGGGCGTAGCGCCGCAAGGATTCACACGTCTTTCGACTTCGGTGCATGAATCGGTTTGTAGCTTTGACGGGCGTTAGGGCATAGTCAAGGCTGCTGCAGAGCGCAGCGCACATATCCCCAAATCCTCGAAGCTCAAATAGAAACTTCACCATACTTGAATAAGGCAAGCCGCGACAAACCAACACGTGAACCGAAAACCCATCCCCTAAACGCACTGAAACCCATCCCCTAAACACACTGAAGCCCTTCAAGCTGGACGACGCCCCTGAATCCCAAGATCCACGCGCTGCACCTCTGCAAACCCCTCAACTCTGGACTCCTACTGCCCTACACCACTGTGCCCCAGTTTGACATAGCACGACATACAGGAACATAATGTACTCTGAATGTATGTGCTCCAATAATGTTCCGTCATGTATGATCATATACTATACTATCAACTACATGTACTACATAGCTTAGTACAATATACATATATATATATATATATATATACAGCTTGATCTACAATGGTTTAACTCATTCTTCCAATGGGTGGTTATCAAAATCAGGGTCCCTTTTTGGGTCCTTAGTATAATACGGCACCTAGTATTTAGGGTACCCAAAAAGGGACCCTAGTTTTGACAATCACCCCAATCAACCGAAGACAGGATTTAGGGCCGCACCGCTAGCGGTGCCAGGGCAGGGCTGGAGACGCAAATCTGCAGGGAGCACCTCGCAGCTTTCGATTTTTTGGTGCTTTTGATTTTGAGGTTGCTAAACCCTAAACCCTAAACCCTTGGTAGGTTTAGGGTTCAGGGCCTCTCGGGTTTCGTCGAAGCTTGGGGTTGTGGGACTTGCAGACCTGTAGTTTAGGACTTTGCCTGAAGTTGGAGGTACGGGGGAGGGCTCTTTTGGGAGCAGAGCCCTTTACTGTGTGCTACCCTGCCCGTTAGGTGTGCGCTTGCCCTGGTTGACCGTTGCTAACCCGAAAGTCCCAAAGCCGTGTTTGAAGGTGTAGCGATGCAGAAAAAACGACTCAATGCTATGATTGCACGGCCGTCAGGGCGATTTGAACATAACTAACATGTTCTACATCTTACCGCTTTAACGCCGCAGAGCCGCCCACCTTCTGCAAGAGACAAGGCTAAGGCCTTCTGAATGCAGGTTTAGGGTTTTAGTGTTCCAGCTCTTCGGAACTTAGGAAATAATCTGTACCCCCAAATTGTATATAGCGCAATAATGCGGAAGACATCTTCCCACATCCCAGAATACATGAAGACGTACCGAGAGACCTCCAGAGTCGGAAGCGCATTTCGATTGGAAGCCGCTCATGGACGAAGGCGAAGAGCTCTGGCCAAGAAAAGTTCCTGGCCATGTCAGGACCAAGCTTTGGGTGGTTGTAACGTTTAAGTTAAGTTTAAGGCTTCAGGGTTTAAGATCCGTGCTTTCAGGTTATTAGGGTTTGAGCGCATATGGGTTGAAGCTTCAGAGGTGCGGCTGCCTTTCCCCTGTCGCTGTTGCTTCCATGCTTTTTGCTGCACTAAGTTGAGAGACGTTGATTGTTGCAGTTGGCAGATCCATGCGAGTAGCAAATTCCAATCAGTTCATCAAACTGCACCCGAACAAATCTGAGCCAAGCCCTAAGCTGGAAAGCAACACCCGGGACCCGGGGTCCTGAGCCAGCGCGTCTGGCCATCCTCGTTGCTCGGAAGAAGGACGCCCCGGCGCCACAAGCCACCTGGGCTTAGATCCCTTGCCTTCAGGACTACGTAAGACTTGGATGTAACCAGTCGGTAAGGTAGAAGTGCCGAGAAGCTACGGGCTCTACACTCTCGCGGGGCATTGGGGTCATGGGGCTCATTGAGTTTGGGGCTATTGGCCTGCAGCATTCGATGTCAATAAGTCCTAAGTCCTTCGGCATAAGACATGCATGTGCTGAGTCCGAAAAAGCTCAGCCTTGACCGCATGCCTTCTATCATCTGTCTTTTTTCCTAACCCTTAAACCCGAACCGCCTAAACCCTAAACCCCAACACCCACACCCTAGAGCCTCAAAACCCTAAAGCCTCAGAGCCTAAACTCTACACCCAAACCCCGAAACCCCACAAAGGCCCAATAAAAAAGGGCATGAACATGCGCTCAACCTCATCTGTCTCCGAGCCACTCTCGGCCACCGACTCCAAGGCCAGGGAGAGCATCGGGGCTCCGTGCTTGCCGGGGATTTTCGGCCTAAAGCAGTGAAGGGCTCATGGTGGCTTTGGGGTTTAGGGCTTTGGGGCTGTAGTCTTGGGTGTGTTTGTACTTTTGGGTTGTAGACGTTCTTGGGTTGTGAAGCTTGGGGGTTGGTTCTGGAGGTGGTCTGCCGGGTGGAATCTTAACCCAAGCTCGCGTCATCTATGCGACTGCCTGAATGGCAGTCGTGGGTCTAAGCCAAATGAGCATCGAACAAGATGCTAGCCCCACGGCTTCGAACATGCTTTACGGGCACATGGTATTCTGCGTAAACAACATTACCAACTAGGCATTACACATGAAATCATATACCGGGACTGCCAGTTGAAAGATGCTGACTACACAGGCGCACATCGAAATCTAAGCCACGAGGGACTGAAGGTCCTGTTAAATCCTATTATATGCAGCTTCCTACTTCTGGGGAAGGAGTGTTGACTCTTCGGGGCAGGAACTGCAGAAATTTCTTGGGCTTACAAGATGCATCGGGCTTTTTTACAAGTTCAGAGTTGATGGCATAGGGCTTGAAGTGTTAAAGGCTTGGGTTCAGAGAACCGGTTCCGGAAAAGCACAGGCTGTATACCAATAGGAAGTCACTCTAAATCCCAGAAGCTAAACCCCATGCAGGGCCTAGAAGGCATCAAACACTGCACCCTTCGAATCGTCAAGTCCTAACTCCTTGACACGAACGGCCAAGGCCCCCGGCAGAAGTGCGAAAAACTGCGTCAAGCGTGAGGCCATGGCAATCGCCTGTTGGCTTTGGCTTTGGCGTCTTCTGGATCATAAGTTTTGGGATTATCAAGTCTGAAGCATTACCCACCTTATGACCTCCAGGAGCCCCTCTGGGATGTTTTGCGAAGTGCAAAGAGCTTGGGGATCGGCAGTCAAGTAACTACAGGAATTACGGCTGACAGCAACCCGGCAACGTGGAGCTCCAAAAACTCCTACAAACCATCATGTCGTGGGTCAAAGCAGTCCAAGAAGACCAGAAGAAGAGACTTGAAGTGATGCCGGCAGCCCTTTGATGCATACCCGCTTTGTAGGGTCTTTGTTCGAGTCTTCGAGTCACAGAATGCAGGCTCAGCGATAAAGGGAAGCCGTACCTGGATATGCGGGCCTATCACTACTTGAGTGTTCATGAGCGAACATGGGGAATGATTAAAGCTGCTAAACTTCCTCAACCGTGTATGTAGGAGTCGACCGACACAGACCGCAACGGAACGAGGCAAATCAATAAGAGGGAAGCGGAAGGAAAGGGCTGTAAAAGTAAGAGTCTTGGAAAGCAAACGCCCGCGCCTGGCACCCAACCCCGCCATGCGACACAAATATCTCTTTGCAATCCAGCCTCCACATCCCTGAAAATACAGACCATACCCTCAATTATATCCTTGAATCATTGAAAGTCTTGCTCGAGGATCCCAAACCCGAAAGAGATCCAAAATAAGCAAGATGAGCGTTTGGCTAGGGTCCAGCACGTGGTCTCGGGTTGGTTTATAAGGGGTTGTGAGGGACACGACGCATGTTCTGCGATTCTATAACCCCGGCTTGAAAGCCCTAAACTTCAAGTTCTGAAGCCCCTGAGAACACCGAACCTTTGCGGCGCCTCCTCATCATTGTGTACACTTTCGACTTCTGGCAGAGCCTGGCAATTAAGTCGCAACATTCTACAAGACCTCTTTGCCAAGTTCGAGGCTGGAAGTCAAACCACATCTGGCAGCAAGCTACATGCCGTAGCCAGGCTCTGCAAAAACCTGCAAACCCCGACTCTCCGGGACGTATACACTGCATAGAACTTGCACCTCCTCGAAACCCCTCAAGCCCGTTAAACCCTTTCAACCCTCCAGGCCGGGCCATAAAGATCTGTACACCAGGTGAGCCCGTATCAGCCCGAGAATCAAACCCAAACTGCACTGACCCTACCAGCCCGGCACAGCCAGTAAGCCCTACCTGAAGTCCCCATCGGCTACCTGAAGTCCCCATCGGCCTCTGCCGGGGATTTTGTTTCAGCAGGCCTGTCCAAGGAGGGATGGAAAAATCGATGCTTTCTGGCGGCCCTAATTGGCGCCACCCTTGCACACAGCTTAGTGCTCGACTGTCAAGCATGGGGCATCTTGCCAATCTGGTAACTTCAAAAAGCTTCCGCTTGGCGATCCTGTGGAGGTCCGGCGGTGCCCGTCAAGTAGTGTCAGACATGCTTTCGATTCCCTAGACTCTCAACTCTCAACCGTTCATTCATCGTAGTACTCTGAAACTTCGGGGTTTGGGGTTCGGGCTTAGAAGTAAGAGGATCGTGTCTTAAGATTCGTCCATTTCATGGTTTGCGGGTTTAAGGTCCAGGTTCAGGATGCACTGTCGGTACGGGGCTAGGGGTTCGAGCCGGCTCGATCTCCGCACTCGAAGCTTTAGTTCAGCTACGAAAGCAAAAAAACTAGACCCAAAATCCGAAACCTCGTACCCCTTCAACATTCTTTCAACCCGAAATCCCGAACCCTTGAAGCCTTAAGCTCAACACATCCCTGAACCCCTTGAACCCCCAAAGCCCAAAGTCCTAAGCAGAACCCCGAAACCCTAAGCCTAAGTGCCAAGCCCGGGATGCCTGGAGACCCACGAGAGGCCCCGCTTCCGAGATACCGGCGGCTCTGGCGCGGCGCCTTGGCGCAACAAGCCGACGAGTTGACAGGATACGAAATTAACTTTCTTCTGGGCTCAGGGTTTATGGGATGGGGGATGTTCGAATCTGGGGGCCTCTTAATGCTGAAGTCTGAAGAGTAAGTCAACGGTTCCGAGGCTTTTGAGGCTTATATAGGGCTTTGGTCTCAGGGTTTGTGAACGTTAAATCTTTCAGGTTTCAGGGTTTGAGGTTGAGGGCTTCGAGCTCAGGTCAGGTACTTTGCATGCTTTAAGGGCTTGAGCCTTACAGGGCTTAAGAATTAAGCGTAAGAATTAAAATCTTTGGGCGATGGGTTGAGGGTCGAGTAGGTCTCATAGCCTTTCGTGATTCGGTCATTTCAAGGGTTTCATGTTCTGACTGTTTGGCAAGCTCCTCGCACCGGCGTCCCGCAGTATGCAGGCATGCCTCTCCGCGTGTCATCTTCATCTCATCTTCAAACGCATCCGTCGTTCACACGGCCACCACCACCACCACCACCACCACCACCATCATCAAACTCGAAATCACATCACCATCATCATCATCATCATCATAATCATCATCACCTTCAACATGTTCATTGCAGCAGGAGATCCAGGAACCTGATTGAGATTCGTACTCGGCTGCGGCTTTTCTTCATGGCGACGCCTCAGTAAAGCGGGCGCAGGCCCATAGAAGTGCATACAACTCAGCATGAGGGTGGGAAGGAAACATGTCTGAAGGGGTGCCAGCATCACGTCCCAAAGCCCCGCCCCGGCGCAACGCAGATTTACAGAAAAGAAGTGTTTTCTGAACGCTGAGAGAAACCTGACACTTGCAAAACCTCGACCTTGTGACTAGAGCATGGGTTAATTAAGATCAACCTTGCAAAACTCGTGTGCCTGGTAATGTTTCACTTCATTCTGCTACCTCGCATGATGGACACAGTGTTCCACCACTAGTGCATGTGCATTGGCAATGGTTGTGACGCAGCAACTCAATTGTCTTCTCGATCAGAGTAAGGACAGTTCCCCCCGATGTTGCTACGGTGCTGCCTATATACTTACGTGCGCATGCACATTGCAAATATGTACCACAAAAAATTGATGCATGACATCATATACACATGTGGGCGGTTGAGACGTATCGAGAAAAAAACAAACTTACAACATGTGCATGCTACGCAGTGCTCGGAACATGAAGCGAAGTACACAACCTACGTTTACAATGACAGTTGCTATCATGAATGTCACCGTGCTGGATCATACGATAGTGTTCGTCCACCGACTGCTTGCAAAACACCAATGGTGCTGCTTAATATGACCGCTGCTGAGTTGGGGGTTGAACGGGGTATGTTCGGGAGATGCCTCGGCTTTGGGGCGGGAAGGTTATGTTCAAAAATCCCGATGTAAGGTTCGGCTGATCTCGTTAAAGCAATGTCTTGACCAGTTTAGACAGGGGCTGCGACAGCTGAATGTGATGTCAGGCAATGTCTAGCAGCTTGCAGCACTTGCTAAAGTCGGCAGTCGACCGTGCAGAACGGGACAGGTCTTGTCGGGGGAAGCCTTGGATACTCCCTATGCAATCGCGTTAAGCCTGAATCTTGTTCCGGTTGAGTTCGGGTGTCTACCAAATCCCAAGTACAATCCCGAAGCGAACCAACAGACTTGGCACCCGGATCAAGGTTTCGAGGATGTGCTTGAGAGGATCAATCGAACAATTAGGAATGTCCAGTTTGGGGTCCAAAGCTTTTCGGAGTGATTCGGACTCTTATCTGTCGGGGACGACGGGCACGGGTCGTGGCATTTACGTGGGTTCACAGGTAAGGAGCAGACAAGATAACACGTCGCCAAGATCTACAAACATCTCTCTTGATTTGCATGAATCCCAACATCAGCGTCCGAATCAATCATAGCAACCTGAAAGTTGCAGTGTATCACAACTTCACGCGAATGTTCCACGAAGAGACGAAGCCCATCCAGGTGATCAACATTCTAATGGAGCTACTCGTAGGCGTCCTACAAAATCCATGGCGATGTCGGCCGGCTAAGGGCATCAGGGCGCAGCATGTCGTTCATTCTCGCTGCCCTTTATTGGAGGATGTTGTGCTATCTGCTGGCACACGTTCACGCACTGCACAGAGATTTCTCAAGATGACGTCCGGAAAGAGCTGTTACGTCCACGGTATCGGGTGCATGGCATTCTGGCGGCAATCCATACATCGGCTACAAGTTGCACAAACCTCGTCCTTGCTCTTCGTGTCTTCCCTCAGGCAGATTGCAGCAAAACGTGGCCAGACAGTTGCATCATGAGCATTATAAAAAAGGGGGGGGGTCGGGCGAGCATCATGAGCATCAGAAAAGCCAGCTGGTTCTTCTTCCTCGTGCGTTCAAACCTAAGCCTGGAGGCCTTGACCACGAAATGAACCCTTCAGCCCCAGCCGAAAACCCGAGACCGCAGAAGCAACCCTTCATTGGGACCGAATTCCAAGGTCTGTAAACCTGCACGTGCACGTCGGTGTTTGCTTGTACTTTGCACCTGTTCGTTTAGTGTTATTCACACCGACATTCTATCCGAATCGTAGGGTTGACACCTGAGACTTGTGAAGAAACCCCTGCTCCAAACCGGAACCATTCATCCGGAAGCGTTAAGATGAATTGCTCGTTCGGGGAGGAACCGTACCAAGCCTCTAGTAGGTTTCTGCTACAGTAAGGACCAGTAAGGATCGGCAGCTTCGCAAGCCCCAAGGAAACTCAGAGACTCAGAGCCGTGTCTGACGATTCATGCTTTTGTCGAAGCCCTTGTCGTCGCTCGACCGAGAACCATAAACCTTCAAGGGCATCAATCTAGATCGCTTTCCAAAGCAAACGATAGCCGCAAGACGGTACCACACACTTTTACGGGCATGTGCTCGAACAGCTTTCGGAGTGAAGCCCCCCACCCGGAATCTGTCAGGGCTACTTGGCCACAAGTATCCATCTTCGCATGCTGGCAGCTTCTTGATACAGCCTATCGACAATTCACTGTTCTTTCGGAATCGTTCGTAATCCTTATCGCGTCATGGTTGAAATGCTAGCTACCACACTTGCAGCGAAATTCCCAAAGCGTCATGACAAATAGCTGCAGGAACCCTTCATAACGCTCAACCGGGATGACATAAGGTCTCCTAACATCAACCCCGACACCTTCGCCGTGGGCGCCCAACGTTCCCTCCTTTGTCGAATCGAGCTGTCCAGGAGCCTAACTCCAGACCCAAAACAGACTCCATCCAACAGCCCGGTCTTCAAACCGAACGTAAGAACACTGACTGCACTAATGACATGGCACAACGCTGCGCAGGCTTCGTAGTCAAAATTCTGCAAACATAGACCGTGAACTCCGGAAGCTCGAAACTCAGAGGCCTACAACTCTGAAAGATACAACTTGCAGGACGAGGCACTGTTTGAAAGCTTCGACCAGCATCCACCCTAGAGCCCATTGGACCTGCGACAGGGCTTTGCAACTTTGTAACATGCATCATGTAAGGAACTGGATGGCATGTATCGGGCAGTTGGGGAGGGGGTGTGCGCAAAGTCTTACCGTCAGATATGCATTAAGTCGCAATGGTGTCAGCGTGTGTATAAAGGTATAAAAAAACAAGAACAATAACAATAATGACAATAATCATGGCAATAGCAATATGTACAACAGCAAAAAATTATTTTCGTTGCTCATAATTGTGAGACTGTTAACAATTATTAACAACAACAGCAACAACAACAGCAACGACAATAAGAAGAATGATAAGAATCATCGGAATAAGAAACAAAACGGTATTAACCACATAGCAATCAGAGAAAATACTAAGAATACAACTATTCCGAATAAAAAATCTGGTCGTGAAAGCCACAGTGAAGAAGAATACAGGCAATCCAAAACAGAATAGTAATACCAGTAATAAGAGCAGTGGTGAATACACTAACATAAACTAAAGAAAAACAATAACAAGACTAACAATACAAACTATAATAAGAATAAGACCATCAATAAGACAAGCTATAATACGAAGAAGAAGACCAATAAGAACTACCATAAGAATTATTGTAATAATTATGTTTTCATAACGGGTAAGCATACAAATCAGAATACGACTAAGAACCAGAACAAGAGTAATAATAAACACGAAACTGTAATACTGATGATACTGAGAAGGAGAATAATAAGAGCAATATGCACAATAATGATAACAACAGTTGTAATTTGTAATCATTGTAACGACAAAAACAACAACATTAAAAACCAAAAACGCAATAATATTCATCATGATCATCATCATCATCATCATCATCGCTATCCGAGTGGCGATACCGTCGCTGTGTGGCAGGGTTAATTGCAAGAAACCCTGAGTCAAAGCCATTGTTCGATTAATTGCTTCTACCTCCTCTCTGGGACTGGTTCGGATGCCTATCTCGAAAACACACAGCCGGATGCTCGCGACAAAAACCTTATGCCTTAAACGAGCCACTGAAATAACTTAGGGCGTCAACCCCACAGACCCCCCCCTAGCCTCGAGAACTGGCTCTTTGAGATGCTCCTGATGCTGGGACTTTGGGTTTGGGGTTTCATTCGAATCGGTCTAGCTTCAGGTGCTCTGGTTTTTGCGACACGAGGTTGAGGGTTGACAGTGTCTTAGGCTGCCCTAACAACAGCCACAAGCCCTGGAATGCAGGAGCTACCGCCCTTGAAGCTAAAATCCATTCGTTTAAACCTGAACCTGAACGCTCAGTCCAGGATCCACAGGATTCCCTGAAGCCTTCCAGATTCATGTACGTCCAAGACTGAAAGCCAGAACCTTGCCTCAGGGTTTTGCACGTGGGCTATTGGTTGAGTGCTTGGGGTCTGTAACCTAAAGGTTGATGAGGTTCTGAGATAGGCGCACGGTGTGATCATTGGATCTTGAATCATCCCTGCTGAAAAGTTCAGGGCGCACGCTTAGGATGGCAGTCGGCCCAGACATCAGACCGCCCTCCGTACCCTTGTGGGCCGACAAACCTTGAAACTACAGCGGCCGATAACCCTCGGACTCATGTCTCTATGGTAGCTATAAGTCCCCCCCTAGCATAGGTCCTTTCAGTGCTAGCTTGTTAAGATTCATTCCACTTCAATCCAAGCCCCTAAACCCTACAAAGCCTAACAATCTGAAGCCGCTAGGTGCTACAACAGGAAGACTGTGAAGGACCTACGAAAACCCAGGAAGCTCAAACCCCAAACTCCGAGAGCATATATAAGCCCAGTTCGACAAAAACAACAAATTCCCAACATGTAAAGCGCAAAAATCCCAAACGGCAAACCTTTAAGCCCTATAGGCGAAGCCCCTGATCGATAAAGCCCTAGCAAAACCCTGTCCCAGACCCTCACCATCCTACGTAAATCCATTTCAAGGGTTATGGCCAAGCCCGATGCCTCGAAGAAGATGTGACCCAGGGTCAGGAGCCAGCCGCAAAGAGGCTCAATGACCACCTGCTTCTGAGCTGCAGGATTGTTGGCTTTTGGGTTCAGACCTGTTGAGGCTTTCATGCCTTTGGCTTTGGGATTGGGTTGTATGGGTATGCGGTGTTCACTCGGCATTGCGAGTTCCACGTGGAGGGCAACAACATAAAGAGGCTGCTAAAGCTGACGGTCTGTGTTCCTGCGTGCCATGTCTGCCTAATAACCAAGAAGCTACGTAAGCACGTAGATGTACATGCTTGTGAATGCAACTGTATGTTGCTATGAGCACACCAAGATATTCTTAAGGGTATATCCAGGACTCACGATGGTCTGACAGGCTCAGCAGCGGCGGACGTTTCACGGAGTGGGGCTGCTCCTCATAAGGGCATCCTCCTTCCTCTTTTCCAATTCGGTGCATCTCTGCTAGAGGCGGCTAACACAAAGAGTAGGACGATGCATGCTTCTGTTTCTTGAAGTCTTTGCAGGCGGTGGAGAACTGCTTCGAGGGGTTCAGGATGCAGAGACCCTAGAACGTCAACCCCATATCATGGCAGTCGTTCAGGGTCGGATCTTTGCGGGTTCTCTGCCTTGCTCAGTGCACGCAAGTCAGATGCAACCAAACAAACTCACGCAACTCCCAGTGGTCGGGCTGCAGCATAAAGCTCATTTTAAATATTCGCAACACTATTTTTGGGAACGCTTGATATTGCAGTATGGTGGTTCCTGTGCATGGATCCTTAGAAAGGACCCTGTCACAGTTGGCCCATTGTGGCTCATACTTCTGGCTGCATCGTGGAGGTGGAGACTGAAGCCATGGTGTGAAACGCTTTGGTGAGAAGGGCTGTCCGAAAGAGCTACTTCACAGAAGGGTCCGAATTCAGGGTGTGCGGATGTTTGAAGTTCAGTCCATAGCCGGAATCCCCTCCGCTAGCAACTAGCTCGCATCTTCATCCTCAAACCGCAAAGCCTTAAGGAATCACAGGCCGAGGGCACATGTGTTTGGTTCAGTACAGGGTTGTTTGCTGAAAACTGTCGAGTCTAGGTTGCACCTTAGCGGCTTAGCGACTGCTCTCGGCTGCAGGCTTTGATGTGCGGGTTGCAAGTAATTACACGGCTGGTCTTGGTTGGGAATCTCTACATCAGCACGAAAATCTCTCGGTAAATCCTCAACTGTAGGAGCTATGCGAGCCGAGTCTTAAGATAATTCTGGGATTAAGACATTCAGGCATCAGGGATGAAAAGGCAAGAGCAGGGAAGGCTGGAAGGTTCGGACCCAACTTGCGCTGGGTACAAACTCTCGGCCCTGAATCCCCAAGATCCGGTCTGAAGCCATTGAGGTTCTAGGCTTTCGGGAGGTGTCGGGTATCGGGCTCAGGCTTTAGGGTTTAGGTTCGTGGTTCCTTCACCAGGACTTTTCCAGACGGTTTAGGGCTTACTGTTAAGGGTTGAGGTCTCTGTGCTCTGACTGTACGAAGCAACTAACCTAGTCCAGACCCTAGAACTCCATATCCCGAAGAATATGCCTGAATCCTGATTCCTGCATTAACCCGAGTTCCTAATCCCAAATGCTTCAGAACATACTACACAAGTTGGTACAAGAAATTGAGAGATAGTGAGCTGTTCAGCATACAACGTCGCTCATGACCCCTTGGTCGTTTGCCCGTCACTTCTCGCCTATCTTCTTGGCGCAGAACTTCTTCAAAGCTTGCTTGAACTTCTGTGCCTTGAAAATCCCCAAAACGGCCCAATTCGGGACCCCAGGTCTACTGCGGGTAGGTACTGAATTCGATTGTATTGTAAGTCCGTGATGACTATCTTGCAGCATACGCCGACGGGCAACTACAAGACATGAAAAGCTCAATTCCGACCGTAACCGCATCAAAGACCTGTGGCTGCCCATTTAGCTTAGCAGCAGGGTTGCCTAAGACACCGGGCCAACCTGTCTGCGCTTGGCAAACTCGTATTTGGCGGGCTTCCGATACAGTTTCTACGGTTTGAGGGTTCCGAAGATGCAAGTGACTACGACTATGAACCCCAAGAAGACTTTCTTGAGCAGCGCTTCCACATCCCACCCCTGTTTCAGGCAACAAACACTCTCTGAAGAGAACACCCGAAGAACCAGGCCAAGCCCCTGCTAGTCTCCAGGCCACAAAATCCAGAGCCCGAAGCTTAAAACTCAAGCCGAAAGGATTCGAATCATAAAGCGCGTCGACCTGGCACTCCTCAATCCGAGACCCTACGCGATGCCGGGCAAGTTTCGTTGGCAGTGCCAGCAACGAGTTCTTGCCTCGCAACAGCGCCACCATTTCGCACTTTGAAAGCATGGTACAGTTCAAGCGCCTGGGGTCTGTGGGTTTCGTTTGCTTTCGTGTTTCAATTCGGGATATGGGGCTAAAGATTTTGGATGCTGGGCTGTGGGCTTCGCCTTCACAGTTTGGAGCTATGGGCATGGGGTCTTGGAACTATACTTTAGGGTTTGGGGTTACCAGCACTTAGGGATCTAATTATCAATCTTAAGACTGGGGAAAATTTCGGCAAGCTCTCAAGGCAACGTGTTTGTAGCACTTGCGAAAACTGAACAAACTATGCAATATGTCTCCTATTGAGGGCAAGCACACAGCCGGGTTTAGGGTAGGCCCGAGTTTAGGGAATATGAAGGGCCCGAAAAATCCTAAGCCCCACTCAGATTGAGCTTTTCGCCTGAGACCACATCAGCACAAGCATCGATCGGGCTAGGGAAAGCCATGGTTTAGGGGCTGGAGATGATTCGGGGCTACGGATGTTGAGTGTGTGTGTGTGTGTGTGTGTGTGTGTGTGTGTGTGTGTGTGTGTGTGTGTGTGTGTGTGTGTGTGTGTGTGTGTGTGTGTGTGTGTGTGTGTGTGTGTGTGTGTGTGTGTGTGTGTGTGTGTGTGTGTGTGTGTGTGTGGGTGTTTGTGTGTGTGTGTGTGTGTGTGTGTGTGTGTGTGTGTGTGTGTGTGTGTGTGTGTGTGTGTGTGTGTGTGTGTGTGTGTGTGTGTGTGTGTGTGTGTGTGTGTGTGTGTGTGTGTGTGTGTGTGTGTGGTGGTGTGTGTGTGTGTGTGTGTGTGTGTGTGTGTGTGTGTGTGTGTGTGTGTGTGTGTGTGTGTGTGTGTGTGTGTGTGTGTGTGTGTGTGTGTGTGTGTGTGTGTGTGTGTGTGTGTGTGTGTGTGTGTGTCGTGTGTGTGTCGTGTGTGTGTGTGTGTGTGTGTGTGTGTGTGTGTGTGTGTGTGTGTGTGTGTGTGTGTGTGTGTGTGTGTGTGTGTGTGTGTGTGTGTGTGTTCAGGATCTGCTGGATGCCGTGGAGCCGGAAGGCCTTGGGAAACCGGTGTTAGTTTGCAAATTTGTGGCCACAGATTCATCCAGCATCCCTAGCACAACCGGAGACTGTATACCCCCCGAGCTCACCAGCATGCCAAATCCGAACCCTAAACCACAAGGGAACAACATTCAGACCGTAATCTGCACATAAACAGTAGCTCCATAGCCTGTCTTCTCTTAAAAACGCTCAACCACTGCCCCGGTAGCCGGAAAGCCCTAGATGCGAATGCACAGTCGCAAAACCACTTGACCCTGAACCTTAAACGCTGATATACTGAGTCACATAATCTAACCCTACTCCCCTGTGCCCCGAGAGCTGGTAAGGCCGGTACACAAAGAGCACCTTTGTTTTCTCCTGCAGGGAAACAGAGCGGGACCCCAACACACACACACACACACACACACACACAAAACGAAGGTCTCAGCTTTGCGTACTGGTTCTTTGGCTCTACCTCCAGAAACCTGCCCGAAAAACAGAGAGGTAGAGAAGGGTCCGGATCCAGGCCTTTACAGCGGCTTGCGGAAATCCTTCCCCGGACGCGGCCACCGTGGCCCAGGCGCCTTGAACAAGAGGTCGGTTTGGGTTTGTCGGGTTTTGTTGAAGGCTGGGTTTAGGGTGTAGGCCTTACGGCTTTAGGGGTTAGGGCTTGCGGGTTTAGGGGAACACTTTTCTTGGAGGTTCCGGGTGCCGCAACGAGCGACTCCCTATAGCGTTCAAGGAAAAGGGGAGCAGGGTTGGGATCGCTTTGGCGAAGAAACCGCGAAGCCCTAAAGCACAACACCTGACAGGTTGTATCGTTGAGTCCTGAACCCTCAACCCTCCCTCAACTCAACTCTCCGCCTGCAGCAGCCGGAGGGAATGCCGCGAAGAGAGCCCGAGCGGCCGGTACAAGGACGCCCAGAGCACTGGGAGGCATTTGGCCTCTGCTCTGTAGCTTCTGTAGGGTCTGACTTAAGAGTCTAGGCTTTTGAGCTGTAGATAATTAGGGTTTAAGTTTTCAGCTTTCGGGGAGTGGGGCTTGCTTGAGGGTCGAAGGTTTACGGTTTGGCCATCACTTGTCGAAGATTCAATCTAGGGCTCCAGGGGTCGTAAGACTCAGATCGGGTTTGGGTGCCACGACCGTGTTGAACAACAAATGCAAGACGGCACAAGCAGAAACAGTAATGATGATGACGCCAAGACGGGTTTCAATACTATGAATCGACCAAAACGGACAGTGTAATCATCCTAACCGCGCGCCAACACACACAATCGTAATCATGTTGATAATGTTAATCGTAGCGATGATCATCATCAACATACAGAAAATAGCAATGTCGACAACAAGTTAATGATAGACAGTACGTGTACAAGATGTGTAAACATGTGTGTGTGTGTGTGTGTGTGTGTGTGTGTGTGTGTGTGTGTGTGTGTGTGTGTGTGTGTGTGTGTGTGTGTGTGTGTGTGTGTGTGTGTGTGTGTGTGTGTGTGTGTGTGTGTGTGTGTGTGTGTGTGTGTGGTTGTGTGTGTGTGTGTGTGTGTGTGTGTGTGTGTGTGTGTGTGTGTGTGTGTGTGTGTGTGTGTGTGTGTGTGTGTGTGTGTGTGTGTGTGTGTGTGTGTGTGTGTGGGGGTGTGTGTGTGTGTGTGTGTGTGTGTGTGTGTGTGTGTGTGTGTGTGTGTGTGTGTGTGTGTGTGTGTGTGTGTGTGTGTGTGTGTGTGTGTGTGTGTGTGTGTGTGTGTGTGTGTGTGTGTGTGTGTGTGTGTGTGTGC